TATTGTTATTCAGTCTGGAAGAGAGAGGGTCAATGTTAGTAAATTGGGGAGCTAGTATTGTTTTCTCAGTCAGGAAGAGAGAGAGTAAATGTAAGTAAATTGGGGAGCTAATATTGTTTTCACAGTCAGGAAGAGAGAGTCGATGTAAGTAAATTGGGGAGCTAGTATTGTTTTCACAGTCAGGAAGAGAGAGGGTCAATGTGAGTAAATTGGGGAGGCAATATTGTTTTCTTAGTCAGGAAGAGAGAGGGTCAATGTAAGTAAATTGGGGAGCAAATATTGTCAATTCAGTCATGATGTGTCATCTGTCTTAATGCAGATTGTAGATACTGAATAGCAATTAGTTTCCATAGTTTAAATAAACAAAGTTTGTATACACTGTATTTTTTTTGTTAGAAATACTGACTGAAATATATGGCTAGGTAATTATCAGTAATGGGGGCATAATTTGGAGTCAATTTTGATTTTTTTTCTGTTGAATATTCAATGAAAACTGCCTCCAATTGAAAAAACTTTTAAGCTTAAGAATGATGCTCACACATCCTTTTTTTTTATTGTTTTTGGGTTAATGGGCTCTCCAACAAAGTTTGGGGCTGGGGTTGTTGCAAAAATTTTTGATCTAACTACAGGGAAACTTGTAGCCCCTGAACAGCTTCTGATTTCTCCTCGCAGTCTCGCCCCTGAATCAAATATGAATGTCATGAGAATAAAGGAAATGACTGCCAACTGTGGAAGCTCTTCATTGAAAGACAAATTTCCCTGGTCATTACCCAAAAACAACCAACAACAACCACCTCTCAGGCAAATTCTGTGATGTGCTTCCCGAACTAAATAATAATAATAATAATAATAATAATAATAATAATAATGATAATAATAATAATAATAATAATACTAATACTAATAATAATGATAATAATAATGTTAATAGTCGTAATAATAATAATAGTGATATTTGATTTAGTTTTCGTGTCTAATGTAACGTAATTTTCTTATTCATAATAAACTTTATATTCATTTACTTATCGTGCTGTTACCAAATTATTGTACATTAAATCGTTTTTTGACAAGATAGGAAGTAACAAAGTGAACCTGGGATCAAAGACCAATTTTTCTAGAGTTCTTTTTCTGCAATAGCATTCTTTTAAATATCAATTTGTTACTGGCTAGCTATATTGATGTTGAGTAGTTTTTACTCATACTCCTGCAATACTGTATTTAAGCTCTGATTACTCAAACAATGCCAGTCTTTCCTTTGTCCTCCTTTATCCTCAGGAGTCATTCAAGAGAGACAGGGTAACGGAACTAACCATATTAAAGTACAGAGTAGAAAAACGGACTCCTCTTAACATCAATGGAGCGCCTTTTACGATCTTAAACGTTCACTTGGATTGCGTTTTAGAGCAGATATTCTGGTGTGACAATCCTGATTCACGACAAATATAAAGAGAAAATGTAGCAAGTTTACTCTGGGTACACCAGACAGCTGTTGTCTATCATGACGAAGGTCCTGGAACCATCAGGATTTTTTCCGGTGCAGGAAATCTTCTAAAAATATTAATCTAGGTGTGGCTCGTAAGGATGTTCAGTGGCCTGCTAAAGGACCTGAAAGAAACATAAAATAGGCATTCTTTGGTCTACGAATTCATTGACGTCAAAATATAAATTAAAAAAAATGTACGTTAACCCTTTACACCCAACATCAGTATGCATATTCTCCATACTGTTTCCTATACATTTCCTGAGGTGATGATCAAGAGAATTTGTGTAACAATCAAGAGCTTATATATTTGGTGATCATTTCCTTTACTCTCGTGACTCTGGTGTATGACTCAGGGTTGATATCGTGAAGAAAAATTAGCTGCCAGCCAACCACATGCGAAACCATCTGAGAAAGTAAAGCACTTTGTTTGTTTTTTTTCAACTTGAGATAAATTCCGACGGACTTGTACTCTTTCTACTATCGTAAAAAATTATGAAGTGTACGCTCTGTAATGATGTATAAAATGAACATATTGAATACAGCTGAACAGCCTAATGAAACAGTCTCACTCATTTTTCTAACAAGACGAAGCCCTTTAATGGTTATGATGCAACGAATTTTCTCTTATCTGTTTGTGGCGAAGAGTCTTGAATGAACTTAACGCTTCCTTATGCCCATGTGCAGTTAAGGTTGCTTAATACAATTCTGTTTCTCTTTTGATAATAATTTTTGGTTGATCAACACTGGCATGCCTTTTCATGAACATTTTGTGTATAGTATGTTCAGAGACACCTTAAGCCGGGCTTAGTCTTGCTCCCAGATTCTGTTGCATTGTTGTCCGTGCCGGGGGAGTCGGAAATTTGACACAAACAGCCTTTTTGGAGTGGGAAATTTGAATTTGCCCGGGTAGGATGAAGAATTTTAACCCGAAGTAAGAAGTTTATTTCCAGCGGAATACATGTTTTATTTTTTTTTATATGGAAGAGTCCAAAGGTGAAAAGTTTGCTTTCGTTAGCGAATGGTTCAGAAGGAAAGATACGTGAAAGCTTAGGAAATTTAAAGGTTTTTAAGAATTAGAGCGTACATTTAATTCGAGTGAATATCAGGTTTTATACCATGAATAGTCAATTTAAGAAATTCTTGGAATACAGTGGGTTTGTTGTATAGATCAAAATGGACGAGTGAATGTCATGAATGACAGTAAATATTCCTCGTGGGCGCGGTCATGACGACGCAATTTTAGGTCAAATAACAATAGCTCGATTGTGTTTTTCATTCCCTTTTTTGTGTCGTGTTTACTTCAAAGTCGTAAAACACAAAGAGGGACACTCAGTGCAATTATGCAAAACAGGAGGGGTTACTGGACTTGGAAAGAAGAAAACGGCCATTTGTTTCTTCTCAACGGGTCCTCTATAACAGGCTGGAATTTCGCGTTATTGAGCTTGTCACTTGCCACTTCAACCATTTTTTGGTGTGGAAATTTTCAGTTATTTCACACATTTCTCTGATATGAAACAGATACATTTAGACGCTGTGAACTGAATTAATATCAATTTTATAGCATCAGCACCCATTCACGACCCAAAGAATATTTCTAGGAACTTGGTTTAATGTCACATCACACTTTTCTTTTTCCAAGGAAAACATAGAAGAAAACCCAAAGGAATTAAAGTGGAGAGTTTATAACACCTTTATGGTATGTTTGTTTTTCCAAATTGAGTTTTTCTGGCCGCAGAAATACTAGCTTACTTGCAAGACAAAGTGTGCTAAAATCAGTATTTGAACAAACGGACATATGTTTTATTGAAGAAAGATCGTTGTCCTTCTATACACAGCTTAAGTAAGTGTCAAAGTTAGACCAGCTCCACTTACATAAGAGGAATCTTGATGTAGGATCATGGTTTTGAATTCAGTACCAGCCTAATTACGAATTGGAGCGTGTTTTCAGAAGAAACCTGGTGGTGTCAATACAGAAAAATGCTTTTCAAGCAAATTGTTTAGGTTCAAAATCGTCCGGGTTCGAGTAAACATTTCTAAAATTACAAAATTCCACCTCCCCATTGAGCTTCACTAAGATCAAATTTAGCCTCCAGCTTGGCATCCATCTTCGATTTTTGATGAAACGAGACTAACTCAGGAGCTCGGTGTCGATTATTTTGAATCCGCAGTTTAAAGTGGAGAAACTCATTTGAATTACAAATAAATTTTAAAATTAATATTCATATTTGCGCTCAGTCTTGCACGTGGAAGGAGCTTACGAACTGAAAGAAATTTCAGCTTATTTTCCAGCTTTTATGGATTCAAGAAACACATTGTTTTTACCTTATTGCCTTAGATATCGTCAGTTCTGTCAAGGTCGGCGAGTGTTTCATCTGCTGAATCGCGTGGTTAACATGTGATCGACGTCGAGGATTCATGACTTTCATTTTGTCAAGACTTTTCATCAGGTAAATAACCTATGTACAGATATATTTTGGGTAGAATTGCAGTGCTCGCGTTTTTCGTTGATGTTCGAGTAAAATTAATTTTCAAAGTCGAAGGTAAGAAGGGAGGGCAAGATCACATAGCACAGATTAAGACAAATACTCAGTGTCGGTCGCCATGACAGTTTCTTGCTCGTGTCTTTGATGAAATGCCGAGTATAATGTTCTTATACTTATCGCTTATTTCCTTATTTTCCTTTTAATTTCTGTATTGATTTTTCAAACTATACACAGTTTTTATGCTTCGAATATTGTGGCAGTAAGTTTGTTTCAAACGCGCTTGTCATTTACCCTCAATCCCGCCAAAGAAAGTAGAGAGTTATCGTTATCACGTTTTGTATGTAATACAGAATCCGGTTTCTGGATATCAGAGGATTTCATGAAGAAACTGCAGATGGCAGTTACTCACTGTAGTAATGTACATGAGAAAATTACGCGCTTCTCAGATTATATGATAATTTTTTTTTCTCACAAAAAAAACTGGCTTTCTCCCTTAGTTCTGCATCAAATATGAGGGTCCCAACCAAATGTTTCCCTTTCTCTGCTTACACTAGTTCTTCAGAACAAAGAGCACACCTTGCGATGTATTCTTATGGTATTTCACTTTTTTCCCTCCAGATTAGCGTCAGGCATTGGATAAAAAGTATACAAATCAAGAAGATCAAGGGATAACATACAACAAGGTTGGTTTTTCAGTTTTATAACTATTTTGCTCATCTTACCTAGCAAGTCTTTACAATAATGACAAGCCACTAAATCTGAAACATAAAGAACCTACAAAAGAAAATCAAAGCCGGACATTTTATTCAATTTCTGAACTCTCTGATGTTCGTCTCATTAGGTGACTTGCAGTTGTTTACATCGCTATTTCTCAAGGCCGGGTTGTTCGAATGGGGTTTAACGTTAATCTAGGATTAAAAGTTAACCTTGGCTGTAATTTCTCGTGTAGATGAGCGTGTTTAAGAGCTAGTGTTTTGTTGGGTTTTATCTCATTATGACTGACTTGAAACCAAAAGAAGAAAAAGAAAAAAAGAAAACACCTTTGCAAAGCCACTAAACTGAATTAAAAATTTGCACTAACCCTGGGTTACGTTAATCGAACAACCCGGCCCTCATGAACTTAAACTGCTGCTCTCAGTGTGTCTGTTGGTAGAGAAACACTGGTACTATAAATGAAAGAAATATGTTTCCCTCAAAAAATTGTGTTTTGACTATTCCTCCGTCTCAAAAATTTCTCATAGGACTGCTTTGGCCTCTAAAACATGATGTTTTGTAACGAAAAATAATAATATTAACTCTCTTTTTCCCGGCTAGGACAATTGCAATAATGAAATGAGACCGCATCGAAATAAAGAAATGCCAAGGGCGGGAAGAATTACTAGATAGCCTCTGACAAGGTTAGTTATTTGGCTTTTATAAAAAATTAGTTATTTGAGCCTATTAGTCTGCGTTGAACGATCTAACCTGGATTTAGCGTATATTTGCAATTAAAGAAAATGCATCTGTCAATAATGAAGAAAAACTGCGGAGGAAGAAATGAATCCAGTTTTTTTTTCCTTTTTCTTTCTGATTTCTTGGAGCTGTCTCTGATAAGTAGGCTTTCAGTTGTTTGCAGCACTGCTCGCACAATGAATGAGCATTACCATGAATACTTTTTCTCTGTTTTTATAAAACGCTAGTGTAAAATGATCTCCTCTCAACTATTTTGCCATCCATCTGACATAACGAGCTACCATAGCAACGATTTAGTCTTCCTGAGTTTTAGAAAATAACATTCACAAGGATCTCGATAATCCCATTTTTGTTTACTGCTATCTCGCAAAGTGTAAAAATTTTACCAGGTATAACATTTTGGTGAGCCACGCATGAGGTCAGACATACTTAAGTACGCTTCTTATCTGCCAGGAGGTTCCTTCTCATCAAAAATTGCTTTTGAGTAGTATAATAGGCTGCTCTGGCTCCTGACCAATGAGAGAGCGTTACCATTTCACTAAAGCACAGAAATTGCAAATTGTTGACCGCAACCTTATTCCAAATTACAGATCACAGATCAGCTTTAAGTCTCCCCTCTCCATTTTTGTTTTCGGGAAGTAATTGCCAACTGTGAACTTAAGGTTCACGGTTATTGATGATTTCTTCACTATGAAATCCTTTTGTGGGCTGACGCAGGTAAACAAGATCCTGCTATCATCAAATTAAAAGTTTCACTCTGTTTGTAGGTAACCTCAGATGTTTAGTGCATAGGGAGATTAAAAGTTTTTCCTCTTACGATTATTCTTATGCTTATGTGCACAGAATATTTATTTAGAAAAAGACTTAACCACCCCTCCCCTGTCCTGGCGAAACAAAATCTCTACATAAAGTATGCGCATATTATAGTTGAACCCAGTTCTTTTTTTCTTACCTTTCAAACGATTCAAAGGATCGGTAAAAATTTGTTTAAATTAGACATGCCCATAATTAACTCTGTTTTAATAGTGCGACAAGAGCAAACCTCATCTACACTGTACAACTCAATTCTTTCTTTAGAAAGACTCATTGATGATTTCTTTGTTTCCTTTCCAAGGTAGAAAAATATTCTCCTGCGGCTTTTGGTAGTGCAGCTGATTTCATGAGATAAGTATTGACCAAGAATATAAAATAAAATACAAATATCTTTTAGTTCAAGTAAAAAAATTAACACTGTAGACCAATACTTAGTCCTACGAAGAAAAAGGGAAAAAAACACTTATTGTCGTAGTACAAGAGATAGGAGACTGAAGGCTGACCCGTTATGGGGCATTGTCACCCAAACAATCTCTTTCTCAGTCTTCATCTGTGATACAAAGACTAATTGGTCCCTTAAAAAGGAAAATAAAACTGTTTCAGACACTGGACTGTCTTTATGCGCTGACAGGGTGTTGGACTTTGTACAAGAGATAAGAGACTTAAAGCTGGCCCCTTAAGGGGTTGGTGTCACCCAAACAATCTCTTCCTTAGTCTTGATTTGTGATGCTAATACTTGTTCCCCGAAAAAGAGAATAAAACTGTTTCGGACACTGGACTGTCTTTATGCGCTGATTGGGTGTTGGACTTTGTACAAGAGATGGGAGACTTAAAGCTGGCCCTTTAAGGGGTAGGTGTCTCTCAAACAATCTCTTCCTAAATCCTGATCTGTGATGCAAAGACCTGGTCCCCAAAAAAGAGAATACAACTGTTTCGGACTCTGACTGTCTTTATGCGCTGATCGGGTGTTGGACTTTGTACAAGAGATGGGAGACT